ATATATAGTTTCATTCCTAAGTGTCAAGTATTATCACAATAAGCATCTGGTGATAAGACGTTTTTTTCTAACGACGAATCAACTTAATTTAAGTTCCAGAATCTAATATATATATATATATATATAAAGCTTGTTTGATAGTCTAGGGTAATATGATATGACTTCTTTTTGTCTCAAAACGTTTTAACATGAACATTACAGAGATGTAAGGACTCTAAAATTTCCAAGGAATGTATTGACTTCACTATGAAATGCAAGAATAAATAAGACCAAAAGATTATGTGAAAGATGAATTTTCATTATCTATTTATAAAGCACGATATGTCACACCACAAGTATACATTTAATATCCTTTCAATTTCTAGTTGACTTCTTACCAAACTGTTCAACCTGAACACGACGTGCAAAACTTATCATAATGTGTGAAGTGAAAAGAATCAAAACACTGATACATGTATTAGATTGATTGACTGGTTGAGGGAGAATGGTTATGTCCCGCATTTAACAATATTCCAGGAAACACCAGACATGGGCTTCACACTTTGTACAAGAGTGGGGAACGGTACCCAGGTTTTTAGCATGAAGAGCTAACACTTATCCACCAGACTGAAGATGTTCGGCCAGAAGTGAATTGTCCATGCAGAAACATTGGTACAGTGAACAATATCAGCATTGGCAATCTGGGTGTATCTCAACCAAACTGAATTTCCTAACAGCACATTACACTGCAAAGTTCTCTCCGGCACGACATGCGCATGCTGCCCAAAGTGTGTATATGAGCGCCGCCTCTCTAAACCCAAATCTACTCTCCTCTGTCCTGCACTGACAACTCTGATTAGTAACCGTTTTGTTATTTATGCAGCGTTGCCATTATTCCCATATACCTACGCCAAGTCGTCTCTTCTAAAGTGGCACATGATCTCCCTTCTCCACCACAGCATATGATGCGTCAGTCTGTTTCTTTCCTCTGAATAAATCTGGTCTTTTCTTATAAACGACAAAACACGTGATGACTAAGATTATGACTATGATGCAAATAATAAGAGGAAGGACAAATCCTAAGGGATTGTGAATAATGCGTTCCTGGTTGCCAGACGTAACTGTGCTAGAGGCTGTAGTTTGATCAGGGGGATTTGTAGTTGGTGTGTCTGAAAGATAATTAAGCTCTTTTAATATTATATCTAATATAATATTACAATTCGACACTTACATTACTTAGTTGTCCTGGCATGGCGTTTTTTACACGTTCGTTTTTAAATAAGAAAAAAAGACCAAAACAGCCCCTGTGTGGCCTACGGACAAAGCTACTTATCATACGTCCGAGTCAGAATGATGCGATCTGAAGTTCACGTGAACTTGATAAAATACGATGTAACCCGACTTGGAGAGATTTTTTTTTCTGCACATCGATTTCTCTCCTGGGGAATTAATCCCTTATACCCTGCTTCAAAGCAATACTCCGCACGCTTCTTCCGAGTCAGTGATAGTCACGTGACATAGCACAGTCAGGTTAATATCAGCTAATTCAAACAGCTGTTTTCTATCAATTTTAAGAATTTGTTTTATTTCTTTTACAATGTCACAAAAAGAACGTCTGCAAGATAAATTCAGTTTAGCAGGATCACTCGAGGTACATGGGGAATAATGCGTCCCTCCGGCTAGGTATAAAACCAAACGTGGGACGCAAAAAAATCCCATGTGCCCCCTGTGATCCTGCTACCACTCATATACAACATATGACTAGTTTACCTGATTGGCTTCAAACCATTTACCTTGATACCACTTGCTTCAAAGGTCATAGTTCAATGTCTTTAATTGTTCAGTGACAAACAAGTTTATAAATATGCCAGATACGTTATGTTGACACAACATTTACCTGATAAATACATAAATAACACACATATTTATAGCTGGCAATACCTCCACCTGGATCACCGTTACCCACGTCCAGAAGATGCTTCTGCAGTAATGGGAGGATGGCAAATGGAACATACACCCGTGTCACTACTGGGTTATGATGACATGGAAGGGGTGAACGAGATTAGCCACTCCCAATGCAACATTGCAACAACAAAAACCAAAAAGCATAAACGCTGTCCAGACTACAAACAAATGCATGCGACGGAAGAAAGTTCAAAGAACACCAATTACCTCATATTATTAAGTATCCTTCACCTTTTAGTGCATTTCAGATATATGCAGAAGCTTGCTTGTCAACTCACTATTAACTTTCTTACAATCCAAACTTCTATTGACATTGTCGCATATGAACATCAAGTGAGTTTCAGCTGACACTCGTCTTACCGGTGTACAGTTAAAGATTCCGTCTGTAATTTTGTTGACAGTTCCACTGAATAATTCACACAATGCTGCAACATAGAATTGTACTCTCCCAGAGCAGAAGAATCCTGTCAGAGTCACTGATATTGCCGGTTTTTCTTCATTACTGATGATGGTACAGGAAGGGGTTTCTTGAAACAAAAGTGCAGAGTAATTACGAGATAATGTTGATGTTGGATCAAATTGTGTTTGTTAAGTGGCCTATGTGTTATAAGATACCTACGCGATAAATCGCGAAGGACAATGAAGAATGAACCGTAGTTTATTTCACGATAAAACACTGTTCAATTAAGACGTAATTTCTGAAGAATCGAACAGGCGCTCACGGCTTGCTGAGATCGTAAATTGGACAACGTTATAATTTAGAGGGAAGTGTCTAGCGACTTGTTTCCCATAGATGCAGCTTGGCAACGCAGATAAACACAATGGACGAACGATCGAAATATACAACTCGTGGTCATTGATTATGGTGCAATAAAATACTGCAGGGAAAATACACCACTTCTTAAATATTTAAATTGTATGGATGGATAAGCGTTAGACTTGTACTTACTGTAGACGACCATGTGACAAGTCAACATAGGTGAAGGTGAAACAGTACATCGCCAGTCTCCAGCGTCAGACAGTTTCACACTAGGAATGGTCAGAACGCTGCAGGTGTTATTGATAACAGCCGCTGAGTAGTCGCCGAGGGGTTGACATGATGAGCGGTTTGTTTGGCAGATAGCAGCAACTTCCTTATTTGGTGTAGAGTAACCATGCTTATCTATAGTGTTAGGTGCAATACACGTGATGTCTGCTGTAGAACCTACTTCACTCTGACTTGGACAGGTCATTTCAGAAGTACCTGTAGAGATATATACTCTTAAACACAAACTTTAATGCAACGAAACGAGATAAAACAAAGTAAATGAACACTTCCAGTAAGTTGATATGCTGGATTTTCTGAGTGACAATATCTTCGTCAAACTGGGGAGAGAACATGTAGACAAAATGTGGGTTTCTCCATCCTCATAAGAACCAACTGTGCCTCTCTCTCAGCCGATATAAATCACATTCTGTGACGACAATAGTTACTTCAAAGAAATCTGAGAAGGACGTAAAATTTCAACAGAAACATCGGAAAAGTTACCATGAAAACTGGGTACTTCATCATTTGAAAATAACAACCACACATTGGTACCATCAGTACAATTGTCAGTTACGAACATGGAATGACCCGTACTCCATCTTTTTTTTACTTTTTAACTATAATTACTACTATTTTACGGTGGACTGTAAATAGGTGAGTATGAATCAGACAATCCAGTGAATTATATCCTCAGCATCGATCTCCGTTTTAGGAAACGATGTCATGCATCAACAATGTCAAACAGCCGGAAAAACCGATCCCGATAGACAAGCCTGGGTTACTGAAGGTCATTTCTAACCCGGATATTCACGTTTTGTTTTCATTTTCTTGTTTTTCAACGAATTATATATTTACGGGAGCGCGATTGCACCCGGGCAACAGTCCTTGTGGGTATAGGCTCATGATCATGGAGGCTATAAGATCTAGAGTGAAACCAGATCATTGTGTACATCATCTGGTGACAAGTCTATTGCAGCCTTGTGTAACGTGTCGATTCCCAAATTGAAACAATGTGTCAACCCTGAAATCCGTACGTAAAAGAAAGTTAACAAGTGTACCATACAATTAACTAGGTATACAAATCAACACGAATTACTGCACAGCAATTAAAATGTTAGTACACAATAGAGTGGAAGTGAAATATCTGGAATTTCTCTTCCAAGATTTTAAGCGCTTTCCGAAGTGCTGGGCTCAAGACAAACGATGGCGTCAGCCAAACATCCCCCCTCCCCCGCCAAAGCATTCCCAATTCCAAGTCTACACCTTTAACAAGTATAGTTTCTACAACTCCCACCTTCACCAATCGAGACACCAAATCTGTCTTCAAATGTACAAAATGGAGAGGTGCACTGGTAAAACCACACACACCCTCTAATAAAACCTCCCAGTTCGCTGATGACTCCTCAGAAAGTATCAAAGTACCATCCATATTCAGAGTTTGAAGAGCATCAGTTTCCCGCGAAGTGGTAATGGCCTGTACATAGGAACTGTCACCTTAAACTGACACAAATCATTTACTTATAAAAGGCAAGCCCCCTCTCACAATAATTGACTTTGATGACTGGTCTACAACAGCTAACTCCTCACTAGTCGAACCACAAACAGGTTGTGACTTGACATTCACAAAAGCATTCGGGAAAGAATGACAGTTTTCGAAAGAGAGTTTTTGTATATTCTTTACTGATATGCCCTGCCTCTCGGCAATTTCTCCAAATAGGCACTGACGAAAATCCAGAAGTATATTTAGAACCAACCGGAGTAGAACTTGACGTTTCGTCATCAAACTCAGAACCAGACTTGTTAGAACTTGATCTAGGAGAGGACGAAATATCCTTTCCTGGTATATAACCCTGCGAACTCCTGCCTGTAAACCGTGACTGCTTTCAACTTACCCTGTCAGTTAGCGAATAATCATCAGCCAAAGTAACAGCCTGGTGTAACTGATCCACTTTCAGCTCATCAAGATATGTCTGGCAGTCCGTTGACACATACTGTTTTAAATCCTCCAGCAAAACCAACTCAAAATAAAAACATTTACCTCCTTTGAAGTACACTGCCTTTCAAACAGGCGCTCATTCTCCATAGCAAACTCAACAAAAGTAGAATCATCCCTTTTCTTAGCAGACTTGTGAGCTTAAGGAACCTATTCAGAAGCCTTCAAAACTTCAGCCCTAAGAACCTGATAATCAGAACGCCTATCAATGGGTAATGCAGAATTAACTTCCTGAGCTTTTCCCCTAACAACACTTTGCAACAACATTGTCCACTGATCTAAAACCCATTTCAAACTGTTAGCTAACTTTTCAAAATGTAGGGAACACTTCTCAACATCACGTTCAGGGAAGGGCTCAGCAAGTGCTTTCTGCTTGGAAAGATCAAAAGACACGTCACCTGTAGGGGCAGTGAGAGAGCGACCGTAAATCAATTTCTAATCTCAGTTTTCTTTATACGCTTTATATATATATACGCTTTTAACAGTATTCCAGTTATATCATGGCTGTCAGCTTGATGTGGGAGGAAAGTCCGAAGCGATGCAGGTCTCAGACGTTAACCACTTTGGTGCAACCCCAGGGCACGGGTATGGTGCAGACAAACCTAGAAACATAATCGGGGCGAACCGGGATTCGAACCCACAATCATAGGTTTCTGGCGTGCCCAAGGGACGCAACTCTGCACAGCGAATTGCGGCGCCTTAGACGACTGGGCCACCCGTGCAGCCTGTAACGGTACTGGAACATTGAAGAAGTTGCCACAGCATACTGTCACCGTCCGCGGTATATCGGATCGGAGTTTACACACCACATGTCCATCATCTTAATATATTAGCTTCCAGACGAATGATCACTATCCAAACACAACGCAATGAGCGTCTACTGAATCCCAACAGAAACAACGCAACACAGTTACAATTACTGTCAAACAATAAATGCGCTGCAATGTAACACTAGCACAAGGAGTACCGTAAGCGCCCAGGGCGCTCTCAAAATTAGAAAAGGGGGGCTCGTATTAGAATAATAGTTTGGTGAAAAACAACAGAGTTGAAAGATCTTACATTTCGTGGTTTATGCTGACAGCCTGAAATGTTTATATACGACAGATATATTTTTCCAGAATTTAATTTCCCATAATTAAGGGTGCATATAACATACGTATTATACAAGAATAAATATGTCTTTGTACATTGATCAATCGGAAGGGGTGCTAATTGGGATTGTTCACTAGCCAATATATTAGCAAATATCGCCATGGGCGCTTATTAGAGCGACGCGCTTATTACGTCGAATACGGTACTTAAATAGGAAATACAGTAGAAATATTAGGCAAGTTTCATTTCAAACGGAATGGTTATCTCTCCAGATAGAGTATGGTCTATCTGATTGCTCGTCCATGATTCTCAAGAGGGCACTGGCACTATGAGGGTATGATAGATTGCCTTCCAGATGACACACTTGATCGCACAAGCCCGCACCTTAGCAAGTAAGTCTCCCGTGAAAACCACCGTCAGCTGCACACCTTATTGGCAAACCAGAAATATTCTTCGTCCTTTTTTAACCTCTTGACATTCTCCTATTCACTATTAAACAAGGAACGTTTGTGCACTGCACTTTTCTTCATACAAGAGGCATGAAAGGGTTAAAAAATACTACTCCTTTTTCTTTCAACGACGGAAATGTGACAAACGCCATTATACATTGATAAATGGATATACGATATGATATCATTACCGTTATGTGTTAAAGTGTTTTTTGTTCAGTATAACTGCTGTTACATCGTGCAGTAGGTCCACGTGAATCTCCGGGTTAGAATTGGTCTTCATCAGCCGAATGACAAATGACATATTGTATTTAGTACTTGTGATCAGGCTATTAGTCTTCAGGAATCTATGCATGTAGTTAGAGGGTTACTAACTGGTTACCTGACCTGGTTGATGCCTGTCACTGTATCTTAACTGCGTTTATCGGTGATCATGATGTCAATCACCGGATTGTCTGGACCATACTCAGTTATTTAAAGACTGCCGTCATATAGCTGGTAGTTTGCCGAGTGCCCGGGAGAAACACCCCTTAAAATAGGTTTTGACATCCGAAGTAATTCATTAATTTCTTGCTGATTGTAATATCTAGATTGATTGTGAGAGTACCCATGAAGTACTGAGAGATACAAGCCTTGAGAACGTACCATGTAATACATGTATCCACATGAGTAGGAAAGGTACAATCACGTTCAGATGCATATTCGGTTCAGGGAAACTGAAATGAATGAAAGTTTAGACATTAAGCTCAAACAAACCTGTAGATTGTTGTTTATTTTTGCAACGTCTACTGATATTGTTACTACATAAGTTAAAAACGGTGGATATTAACTCCAGTTCTATGTCTGGAATCGATATGTAACCTTGATTCTGTAAACGAGATCGTGTCATCGACATCACCAATTGACCACAATACACGTTCCCGATATTTTGGATGTGCACAGTCAAATGTGTCGCTAGCTGTCGATTAATGTCTATCTTAAAGCTGAAATATAGACTTTATGTTAATATAGTTTGCTGCTTATAGAATTAGTTAGGAACGACAGTCAGCTAAAACAAATCAATAGATTATGTAATTTAAGGTATGTTAATGTATCATGTTTTAGTCTGCCATCTGCCATTGTAGAAGGAAACATACAGTATGACAAAATAGCTGAGACTAACTTGTGCTGTGTCACGTGACTTTCATTGACTTTATTAAAACAGCGTACGGCGTTTTGCATCGAAACGGGGAATAAGTAATTCCACATGCAGACTGTCTTCTGCGAGGTGGGGTATAAGAGCTTAGTCTCCCTCTCACAAATGTATTTCCCTTTAAGGCGGGATATACATAATTGGTATTTTGTCAAGATCACGTGAACCAATCGAATTTCATCATTCTAACATGGAGGTATGATATTGTTGATGAATTATGACACGTCTACTGATATGTGTCCTACATTCTTATTAATAGTGCCGGATATTAACTTATCAGAATCGATTTGTTCCCTTAATTCTGTAAACGTGATCGTATCATCAACCGCATCTTCTTACAACAAATGTTCGACGTGTATCAAGTCCGATTTATATATGTGTCAGCTGAGTGTTCACTCGCAGTGCACAACGCTAGCTGCAACTGCATTGTATCGATTAGTCTCCATTGTAATACATGTACTGAGATATAGGCCTGCATGTATATGTGCTGTTTGTTGAATTGACTGCACCGCAACGGCTTGAAATGGCTGTACAATCCATAAAGATGACTACGTTTTTGAAGTTAAATTTTCCCTTACCTGAAGAATGGTATTCCTCAATCATTTAGTCTGTTTAGTTACACTGATGGTTTTCAGGCGCACGTCTTTAACGGTCATGTTGTAGGGTTGCATGATTTATGAGGTGCGCATATATATATGTCAGTCAGCTGATAATGATCGTGGACGCCAGGTGATACTTTCCATGTTATTGTGGTCTCCTGCATGTGTAACGCTGGTTTTGTACGCATCTCTGAGCGAACAGGTGTATGTGTTAGTGTCTGGTGTATACCTATTCATATCTGGGGTGCACAATATAACACTGGTCAATGGTAGACAATTGCAATGACTGCGCACTGTATCTAATCCGGATACCCTTGTTTATTGTGTGAGCGCAGAACTAACGTAATAATTTATTTAATAATATAAGTATACATGGGTCCATTACGCTTACATGAGAGCGCATTAAATTGTGTTTCAGTCAACACAAATCAGTTTAATCTGGGACGAAAGTGATTCAGGCCTTTGATAAAAAAACGTGGAAGAAAATCACGAGTAAACAAAGAAGCAGAATCAGAAAGAGTTCAGTTCAAACCCACGAGCATATGTTTCTGATCATGACAAGGTGAGGTGAGATGAAATTGGGTTTAACGTCGCGTCCAAGATTATTGCACTTATATAGCGACGTGCAAGCGGACTGATGGCGATTTGTAATGCTAGTTCACTGAGATACTATGCCGCAGTTTAACATGAATACCCAATTCAGACACAGTCTACTGACTCAGAGACGACCAATCCTTGTTTTAGCCCCCTAATGCCGAGCGCCAGACAGGGTAACAGCAAGTACCATCTTTTAACGTCTTTTGGTATAACGCAGCCGGGATCGAACCCCAGACCTTCAGCTCTCCGGGCGGACGCTCTACCATTAGACCGCGGAGCCGGTCCACAGGTTAAACAGGTCCCTAGTACACCATATCTTGATACAGATCTGCTAACAGACCGATCTCGTGTGGACCTAGGTTAGAATAGGTCCCTAGTTCCCCATAGCTTGATACAGATCTGCTTACGGACTAACGCTCTACCACAAGCCCACGGAGGCGGTCGTTTCAGACAAGGTCGCCCGCTACCGTCAGTATTGTCACATCTGTTATATTGCACCAGCTGCTCTACATACATGCCAGGTCAACTTGACATTATACGGTTTAGCCAGCAACAGCATACTGGTTTGATCAATGGAAACTGAAGTAGGTAACTGGTCAAAGCAAATATTGTTATAGTTTATAACTAACTGCATGGTGTTTCGTTTGACATTTCCGTGTGTTTAATCAAGGTCACAAGGCCTCAAAAGGTTTTAAGGGAGACATATGGAGGACATTTCTATGTTTGACGCATCGGTGACAAAAAATGATGTTCGATTTCAATTATCTATTTTGACTTGAACCATATGTTCCCATGTTTTTTGCAGATTTAGTATTGACTTGCCTTTGCATGGGTTTATGACGGGCGGGATACGTGAATAATTTCGCGAAACTGGGTATCATCACTATATTGATAGTTATTCATAAACACATGCTCTTGATATAGTTGGAATTTAGGATCTTATGAATGTGGGAAGGTTTTATTTGCTTTTAGTTACCCATATTACGTTTTTAATATATACTCAAACGAAACTGTAAAAGGCGACTATGCTTGTCGTAGGAGGCAACTAACGGGATCGGGTGGTCAGGCTCGCTGACTTGGTTGATACATGTCATGTATCCCAATTGCGTGGATCGATGCTGGTGATGTCAATCACTGGATTGTCTGGTCCAGACTCGATTATTTACAGACCGCCGTCATATAGCTGGAGCATTGCATCTTATCATGGTGATTTTGCTTGACAAGTTATAACGTCAGGTAAGCAAAATAAGGAACTCAACAAGACCAAAAATACTTATGAAACCACAATTGATGAAGATTCATTTTAAATTACTTTCGTTCTGAATGTTGAGTTATTGCTATAGCTACGCGTGACGGGAAACGTCATACCTCGCGTGATGGACTTCGGTGGCATAGTTTATTCTCTGAGACTGCGTCATGGGTCACACTGGGTTTTCCCGTGTTTTTGCAGGTGCACAACTGACTTGCCTTTGCATGTATTTGTGACGGGGGACACCGGAAGGGGCATTTTCACGAAATCCGGGTATCTTCACTCTTTCCTCAGCATTTGTTTGTTTAACGCAGCACTTGGCAATATGCCAGCTTTATGACGGCGCCCTGTAAATCATCGAGACTGGACCATGCAATCCAGTGATTCATATTGTGAACAGACATCTATACCGTCTGTAGATTGTTGTTTAATCATGTAAGGTCTAGTGATATCATTCCTACATTAGATATCACAAGCGGTGGACATTAGTTCCATGTTTATGTCAGTGGATTTGTAACCTTGATTCTGTAAATGGGATCGTGTCATGAACCGAATCTACTTACCAAAATCTATATTTGCTGCATGTTGGAATGGGTAGGGCCGCAACTGCTTCATATGGCTGCACAATCTGTACAAACCTCCAAACAGTTGACGTTGAATTATGAATGGACTTCCACAATCCAGTGATTCAAATTGTGGTTGGTTGTTTTGTTGTTTAACGCCGCACTCAGCAATATTCCAGCTGTATGACGGCGGTCTGTAAATAATCGAGTCTAGACCAGACAATCCAGTGACTGATATCATGAGAATCGATCCACGCAATTGGGATCGATGACATGTATCAACCAAGTCAGCGAGCCTGACCACCCGATCCCGTTAGTCGCCTTTTACAACAAGCATAGTCACCTTTTACGGCAAGCATGGGTTGCTGAAGACCTATTCTACCCCGGAATCTTCACGGGTCGAATCAAATTGTGAATAACCACCAATGCCGTTTTGATGCGGTGACACTCTAGCAACCAAGTCAGGGAGCCTGACCACCCAATTAATAGTTGCCTCGCATCTAACCCGACATCCACACTGGGGCCTCCCACATTAAGCTGACACACCATCATATAACTCATATAAATGAAACGTGTACCTCAAAGGGGAGTTACACTCCGAGTTATTTATTCATGGTCGATCCTGTAACAGCTGGGCTGCCTCTCTATGACTTGTCATAAATGTGAGTGAGTAAGTATTGTATAGCATCGCAATGAGCAATCTAGCAGCGCAGTCACAGAAAACATAAAAACGCAATAATTGAAGGCTGCCCAAAAGGCTACTTGGAATGAATCTGACATGTCCATATGACTGTGCATCCCCATTAGCATATCAGGTGTAATGAAAGTTTTTGTTTCGTTGGTGTACCTTTTAGTCTTAATATACCTTTGTGCAGGGCTTTCTGGAGAGGCGAGGAATGATATTCATATATCCTGGTATACTAGATGCTGAAAGGGATCGCGTTAGGAACTGTGTACAGCAGTACCTGTCATGCGGTCAGCTGGAACTGGTGTCCTACTGAAGTACAGGTAGAATCTTCGATATGCGGTTCTCACTGAGGTATATGTGCGCTTAGTAGTTTCGGCATATGCTGCCTTTCGAAACTGCTGCATCTCGCTATATAGATGTCGCCATTGTTGAGACACTTGCCCTGTAGATAGGACAAAGTTAGGCTGGATACGGATGAGGATGCTGGCACTAGAATATACTTCCTGCGGCAAGTTTCACAACATAAGCAATAGAATGGAATAAACTGCACTGATTTATAAAGACCACCCGATCCCGTTAGTCGCCTTTTACGACAAGCATAGTCGCCTTTTACAGCAAGCATGACAGTCAAGATGCGTCGTCAATGGTGTGATACGTATAAGATTGTGTCGTTGCATAACCATTGAGGTTGAGATCACATGGTCTAGAGCAATCATGAATTAAGCTTTCGAGATTGCCCCAAAGCTACTAACAAGCTTTGGTTTCCTGTCTACAATAACATAATTGGTAAGGCTGACTTCCTCTGAAATGTTGTCTTCAACAATTGTTAGTACAGTATCATCTGTAGCAGACTTACAGTTTTACAAAGAACATCACTTATTGTTACATTTTTTATCAATAATAAAGAAAACATTTTTGATCCCATCAATCAAAAATTCACAATCACTGCCATCTTCATTTCCCACACGTCAATACAGTCCCCTATTGGCCTGGAGACTATATTGTTAATAGGAATTAAACCGTGGTGGGATATCCTGGTGTTCAAACAGGGGATGTCTTTGTTTGCAGGCTGGTACTATACATTGCAGTTTGGGACTTACAACCCGAGGGGTGCTGGTAATTAATGCATATGGATCTGCCCGACTCATCTGTTGGACGACTTTCAATCTGAGAGCTGGAATGGGCATTCTGAAATGATGAGTTTGCTTTCCGAGGTTGGGATGTTCTCTTTTCTAAAAAGTAGAATAGGTCATTGAACGATACTATAGGCGTCTCTTCGTCGGTCATTGATGACGTGAGCTTAGATACAAAGTCAGGCATTAGAAGTAGCTTCTCATCTCGTCCCTGTAGTAAGGGATTCTCGGGCTACCCCTGGTGTGATCCAGGAAGTATTTGAGGTGTAAATCCTACAAGCTGTTTTCAAGGTCATTCAACTGTTTGTCACCCGCAAGTGTTTTTGTTGTGACAAGTGATGGCAGCGACTGTACTGGTTGCGATGATTTCAACTGTTTTATTGCGTGAATTAGGATGTTCTGCTGACCTTCCGACAATCTAAGTTCAGTAATGTCATCTAGTGACATCAAGCACAATGGAACAGGACTATCAGTAACTTCATCAAAATTTGTGCTGTCTTACTGTTCATGATCAGATGATTGTCACTGCACCTCTTTCGAAAGTTGAACTGACTCGACTGTTCGTTTTCCTCACCTTTGTATGTCACGGACATTCTTCTTTGAGTGTTTTTAAACAAATTAATACCAAAAGTCTGAAGAACATGTTGTTTGCATGTCACGTTTTGCGCCTGTGATGTGACCCTCGCAACAATAACAAACAGATACCGCTTACTGCATCATCAGCAATTTGTAGTAAACAATTAGTTTTTTTAGTTTATGGTCTTCCTTCAACACTTTGCCCCGTGAAGATTCCGGGGTAGAATAGGTCTTCAGCAACCCATGCTTGCCGTAATAGGTGCCTCTGCTTGTCTGAAAGTCGACTAACG